TAATAATATTCGTCAAAAGTTTTTTTATCTTCCATAGAGAATACTATCGAACAAGGTGATTTGCGGTTAACAAATGTTCTTAATATTCATTTAATTTGAAATAATCTTATTTAATTGCGGTTATATTATCATTGGGTATATTTGTATATTTGTTTGCAATCATTTATTATATAAAATTTTAAAGCTTCTTAAGTGATTTATAGTCGTAACATTTTATCCTCAAATGGTACATGTGTATTTGCCAGAGAGCAAATAGGGACGGACGTGTATGTAGGTACGTTTATAACATATTCAGAATTTTATGGATGCTCCAAGTATTTAAAGCTCGCCGAGTGAATTTTCTATTAAGTACAAAGTTGAATTACTCGCCCACAAAACTTTTTAAATTATTTTATATTCAAAGCTGCACGTTGCATCGCTTATTATACCACGCACGTGACCAATGCAACACGAATTAAGCAAAAATCAAAAACATTACCGTTGGAGAATGTATCTCATCTCGGTGCAGCTGTGCAGCATTTATTGCAGCGAAGAATAAAAATAAAACACTTCGTACTATAGAAAGAATACACATAAACAGGCATTTATGATTTGCAATTTACAAAATAAAAGCTCCTAATTAATGATGCATCGCCTTCATATAATTCAATTTTGAAAATTTTTATTCGTAGTACATTTACTAGTAGTTTTGAACAGAACAGAACAGAACGGAACAGATAAAGATAAAGATAAAAAATTTAGTTTTGGCTTTGTTGAACTCTAAATACCCTTCATGTAGAACTATTAAAGGTTAACTAATAAAAGTATATATATAGTTCCTTTGCTTCTATTACACATAAACGAGGTATAATCAAAACGCAATACGCAGAATTCTGTTTCTCAAGTTGATGGTTTTCATGTAATGGTTGTACTGCAGCTACTATGCATATTTTTTTGTTTGCTGAGCAAGAGTACGTCCATGAGTTTGGTAATTTTTTCTTTGTCAAAACATCGGACCAGAGAGTTTGTGCGAAGTTTAGAAAAAATTGAAATACAGTGAAGTATTCAGAATATTAGAGATAGCTGTTACTAAGGTCACATCAATCAGTTTATGTATAATACAAACGTTTTGAAGAAGGTCAAGATAATATCAAAAATGGCTGAGGTCCGACCATACGAATATGTTTATTCATATTGAATTGTAGAAAAAAAATTAGTTACAAAAAAATGGGAATGCCATGTGATACATTTTACGAATTTTTCCAAAACCATTGAAATTGTTTTGAAATGACATTACTACTCTATTCCTTCGGATATGTTACTGTTATTGCCTAAATATAAAAAATGTGCCTAACACTTGATAGGAACAAGGAAGGGATTTTCTTAGTTTAACAAGAGAGAATATCTCTTTGTTCGTGGTTAACACAACCACGAACATTGTGGAATCATGATGTTAGATTAGGAATTTACTCCAATGGATATTTTAGAAGTAATAAAGAAAAACTGAACAAGAGATAGAAAAAATAAGCTGTGGAACACTTCATTTGTAGCAGTCAGGTTGTAGCCAGAAAGAGTGCGAAGTTCTTTTAGCTCTCTCCAGAGGTGTCACAAAATCCACCTTATCCACAAGATCCACAATGTGGTTCCATTAGCAATACAGTTAATGTCCGGCATGGAATAGTGAACCAGTAGATTCTGAGTTGGTAACTGTTAGTTGGTAATAGATGTTATAATTCGAATTGTCATTTTTTTGAGTACAAAAATAAATATTTTTTATTGCTTAAACCTCTACATTAAAAAAATATTACTTAAATATTTTAGATGTTTAAACCTATCTACCTATTATCGGAGAATTCTCTATAAGAAGATATAAAGATAATAACAGAATAAATGACTGTAGGGGATATGTGTAAGTTAATTTAAAAGAAATAGCTATTAATTAACATATTTTAGAGCTGATAACGTAATCCTTTTGAATATGTTCTGAGTTTGACGGAACTTTTAGTTTTCAATACAAGTTGGTATTCAAGGATTAAAATATGTATACATACAATGTCAACACTAAATTATTTCGGAA